GTGGGGGAAACTAAAAAATGGCGGAAAATTGGAAGCACTGAATGTTAGATCTATAGAACGAAGACACTTCCTTTTTTCCGGACCCGTGTCCGAATAACATTTTTTCTTTTCGGACTCGAGTCCGAATATGAATTTTTTTTATTCGGACATGAAAAAATGTTATTCGGACTCGAGTCCGAATAATGACGGCCATTTTTTATAGCATCGTATCACAACATGGGATCTTCAAGAATATATGTCGGTAGCGTGACTAAATAATTGCAAAGCTTTTAATGATGACTTTAGACCATGCCAGCCGTAAAAGATAAGTTAATTCAATCTAGCATGCCGTACAATTAAAAATTCTTTTTCCCGGTTGAGACGCGAACACCCTGAGACGAGATAACCTCGTCTCGGAATACCCCCATCGCGATGTTACAGGGGAACAGAGAGAAAAACAACCGGATGCGCGTGCCCGCCATTGTCCTATTTCAAGTGACCAATGAACGGGCCCGGAATAGTCATGCGGGGATTTATAGGTCACATACATTTGCCGCAAGAGTGAGGGGAAAATGGCCGGTCTCCGTGCGAAGCCCCTTTTGTGTTTACTTTGTTTCAATTTCAAGTATCAGCGTTCTTAATAATCTTAATCTTACTGTTCTGAGCATCAACGATCTAGATTCTAGTCTAGATCTAGGAAATCCGAAATGTTACCGAAAGTACGTCGTTCCATGTGGGTATCCCAGGAAGTGATGACATCACAGTACTAAAATAAGCAGCCAATCAAAAAGATGCGTCTTTTCTACGTTTAACAGCATGTGCTTTGGATAGGGAGGTAGTCGTGCATTTATGATCGGGTCTAAACAACTACTTGACACAGAACGTTCAAATTTGAGCACACTATAGAGGAGAGATAGATCTATTACCATCTCGGCGTTGAAATTCAAACTCCCTATAGTTTTCGGTGTACCCGATACGAAAGTGTTCCCGACACCAAAAGTATAGGTTAATTTATGTGTATGAACTTCAACTTCCACATATCATTAGTTTGCTCTATTTTCTGATTGGTTGCCGAGTTTCATTCGGATTGGTTTGGAAATAGAGCAGACCGAGGTTGACAATGTTAGTCACCTACGCTTTGGCCGGGTCCGCAAAATCACTCGCAAACGGGGACCAAATTTTCGCCGAGCGGGAAAGCCTGATTGGCATTGCTAAGTTACTATACAAAGCTGGATAAAGTTAGCACACAACAGTTTTCAATCATTATGTTGGGCGCAATCTGTCAATTTGCGCGATCCATCGACCGCGCAGCGCATTTGGTTGATCGAGGAAACGCGCGACAATCCATCGATTGTTGCGCATTCTTCTGTTGATCAGCGGATTGCGCAGCGCTTTTTGTCGATCCATGAAATATATACTTGCCTCGCATTCTGTTGATAAACTATGATGATGAAGTGAATAAAAAAAAAAGAAAATTGGTTTACTGAGCATGTATGTCTTTGAGTTTGAGCATCCAAGAAGAGTTGTGTGATGAACTTAAAATGTTGACGGTTGAGTGAGGCGGTTAAATTGACACGACGTTAAGTCGAGCACCTGAACTCGGTATTTGGACGGATGTGATTGGCTGCGTACTTCACGTGTTATTCCAAATACGGTCAAGATTTAATGGCTTGTGAGCTTGTGATAAATTGTTGTTTTGATCAAACATTTATTATACAAGTATTGTTTTCTTTATTGTTTCCTTGAACAAGAGCACCTCGAGCACAACCAACCTCTCCATATATATATTGAATAAGTGTTCGGAGTGATAATCACCGACCTATAAGTATAGGCCTAACCCTGATTGCACTCTCATTAGATCTACCCAATAGCAGTGTCTAAGTACACGATAACCGACAACTCAGGGTCTTTCCTTCACCACTACAGCATCATCGCTACTTCCGCTACCAGTTTTCTTTCCACATGTTTAATTTGATTTTGTTGAGTGTTGAGTTTTTCTGAAATAAAAAAAAAAAATCACATCGCTCAAAACCGACAGCCGTGGCCCCGCTGAGAGTGCGATATCGCTACGTGCAGTCTCATTGGTCGAAACAATTAACTTTGCCCCCGATAAGGTCAGCTCAACTTAGTTTTGTTCATACTTATGACGACGCAGGGAGGGCCAGTTTAGATAGATCTAGTAATTGGATATTAAAGTTCATGTCTCAATTGTTATCATTATAATAAAAAAAAATGTTAATATATATATGCTGGAAATATTTAGAAACAAGGGTCGGAAGTCGGAACGGACATTATACTGGACTCAAATCAGAGTCCGAATATAATTTTTGTCAATTCTGACTCGAATTGTCAATTCGATTAGATCGTTATTGTAACCCTGACTTCCAGTTACTTCCATTCAGTTTCGGTTTGACTTTGGAGAGTGAAACTAAATTACACACTGGAGGACATCAAAACTTAACAAAACTCAGGGGTAAGATCTATAGAATGCGCAACCAAACGAATCGACAAAAAGCGTTGCGCGATCCGCTGATCAACAGAATGCGCAACAATCGATGGATTGTCGCGCGTTTCCTCGATCAACCAAATGCGCTGCGCGGTCGATGGATCGCGCAAATTGACAGATCGCGCCCAAAAATTAT